TATATCTATGTATTATATATGTATGTATGTAAGTTTCCACTGGTTGATACTCATTCAGTTGTGTCTTTCCAGGTGCCCAGGAAAAGACGAACTTGGAAATCATTATTCTAGTAGGCACAGCGGTGATTGCCATGTTCTTCTGGCTACTTCTTGTCATCATCCTACGGACCGTTAAGCGGGTAACAAAATAATTTTCCTTCTGCCCATGTACATTGGTTTTCGTGATTAATGAAAACTGACTGGGGTTCTTTGAGTTGTTTCTTCCCATTGTTATTGGCTCAATGGGAACATTTTTATTTCAATACAATAACATTCTTGCCCACTTTCTTTTGGCTGGATCTCAGGGATTTAATTGATAGAAGCCACTAGAGGGGAAAAGGGCTTGGACTGTCTAGTGTAATTAGGCTTTAAAAACTTAATTCTGAGCTCCTTTGGGGGATAAGGGGACACCAGAAGCAGGGTTATAATAGGACTACTCTCAAACTCCATGAGTTTTATTGGAAAATAAGACAGGAATGAGGATCCAATAAACAGCAATAACAAGCCTACAAAACAACAGCCAAACAACAGTGTGAATATGACTGGAAGGATTGATGCTTTCCAGGCCAGTGGAGGGGAACTGAAGACAGGCTACTTGTCCATCGTCATGGATCCAGATGAACTCCCTTTGGATGAACATTGTGAAAGACTGCCTTATGATGCCAGCAAATGGGAATTCCCCAGAGACCGGCTGAAGCTAGGTGCATTTTCAGTTGCTATTAATTTGATGTTGTGTTTACCAGGCCATCTCTTCCTCCATTAGAATGATGACAAATGTGGTCTATTCAGATGTTGGATTCTGGTTTAGAAATATTAATTCCATCTCTTGAATTTGGATAATCATTCATTTAGCCACTTAGAGGTAGGGTCCCTGTGTAGTCATCCGAAGCAGGACATTTGGCGAGCGAAGGGGGAATTATTAAGTAATTAAGCCAGGACAAAGGAGTAAACTGGACTATCCATGTTAAATTGGGATGTATGGTCACCCTATCTGGTTGACACCTCTGCATATCACTTTGGTGGTATAATAATCCAAGTCCGTTTTCTTGTTGCTATTGTTGATTCTAGGTAAGCCTCTTGGCCGTGGTGCCTTTGGCCAAGTGATTGAAGCAGATGCCTTTGGAATTGACAAGACAGCAACTTGCAGGACAGTAGCAGTCAAAATGTTAAAAGGTAAAAGCAAAATTGTATGGTGCTCTATCTGTTTTGTCTAGGCTTCTATCAGTAGCTTTGTGCTTAGGTGGGCCTACTAGCCACACATGCAGCCAGCCTAAATAATGCCCTATGCAAACTGGAAAAGATCTTCTTTTGTAGCTTTATGCCAGGGTGCACGGTCTGGCAAGCAAAGTTGGGGATGGGTTTCACCTCCTTGCCTGGTTACCCTTGTGCAGGTCTCAGCCAACACAATTGTACTTAGTGGTTCTGGTGACAGGAAAAAAGCACTGTGATTATATTAAAAAGGTTTCTTAATATATTGTGGAATCAGATAATTATAGACCATCTAGAGACAGGGAAAGGAAAATAGTGGAATGCAAAAATAGCATGTTCTCTAGAACTGGAATATGTAAAAGATGTTCATATGTAAAAGATAATTTGCAAAATAAGAATGGTTGTGTTAGAAAAAAATAATGGGTTATATTTTTAAAATTAAAAGCTTTATAAATAATTGTTAATCCTAGTAGTAATGGAATTCTGTTCTGGCCATTTTCATTTCAGGATGTTAGACAATAAAGCTTCTTTATTCTTTGACGAAGACATGCCACTGACCCTTTGCCAATAGGTTTTGTGCATTTCAAAGCTATCTTTCTCCATTCTCCTTTTTTCCCTTGTGGCCAAGGGAGTATGTAATTTTGAGGTGGCTCATCAGGGCCTGAGATGTGGACTGTGCCTGTGAATTCGAGGGAAGTGTAGCAATTCATACAGGATCAAACACATAGTCTTAGTGCCATCAGCCTCATGTGCCAACTGGCCTTGCCAGCTGGCCCTGATTTGCTTACACAGATCGGCACAGATTGGCTGGAACATTCAGGATAGCCTCTAACACGTGAAGATATTTAATACATGGTGTCACTTCCTTATGAGGAAGCACTAAAATGATAGACCCTAAGAATCGTAGTGAACATGAAATGCAAAAATCCAGTTTTGTAAAAGAAGAGAATCTGGGCATGACTCCATTGCAGATGTATTCTTCACTTTACAAAAGATTTCACAATGGATTCCTTTAAATATCAAACATTCTGGCTCACTTAAAATATGAATTTTATGGCTGGGTGTGGTGGCTCACACCTGCAATCCCCGCACTTTGCACTTGGGGAGGCTGAGGCGGGTGGATCATGAGGTCAGGAGTTCAAGACCAGCCTTGCAATCATGGTGAAACCCTGTCTCTAAAATACATATATATTAGAAAATAGAATTTACACTTAACTTTTGACTTTTGAGGAAACACGTATGGTCTGTAAACTAGGTCCAGCTGTGTTACCCCCGGAGGGTAAGCCATACAGTGACATGCAGGGAAGGAAAGACCCCCAATTATCTGAAGGTAATGTCTGCACCTATGATTTCCCTCTTTGTACTATATTTGTAGAAGGAGCAACACACAGTGAGCATCGAGCCCTCATGTCTGAACTCAAGATCCTCATTCATATTGGTCATCATCTCAATGTGGTCAACCTTCTAGGTGCCTGTACCAAGCCAGGAGGTGAGTAACTGTGGATGGTTTTTGTCGCCGTTTTAACATTCCTCTCTGCTAGTCTTTGAGGGAAAGCAGTTAACTCCCATGGACTTGATTTTCTTAGCTTAGAATACTGTGTGGATTCCTAGGAATAAATATATTTCATGGAGGTTTAATTAGCACTAGAATTAAATTGTTCTAAAGCTTTCCCTGAATTAAAAAATGTCATGCCACTGTGATACAGTTTGCTACCTGTGTAACAGATGTCCAGAGAAGAGTAAACTTCCACAAAACTTGAAAGCTTAAGGGTAGTTACCCCACAAATGGAACCATATTAAGTGATTGCATTGAAAAGCAAGTAGATGGGTGGGTTTTCTTCTGAAATTTTGGTTAATCTTGTGAAAATGTCTTCTGGAAAAAAGAAAAACTACAATATAAGGGGATTGGGACCAGCTGATTTCTACATCGCTGTCCCAGTGAAAGGTTGTAGCCTTCTTCTAAGGTATTTTTGGGTTCATCACTCTATTAAACACTTTAGTGAGAAACATGCATGAAAACCCATTTTCCTTCCTGGACATGCTGTCTACAGGGCCGCTCATGGTGATTGTGGAATTCTGCAAGTTTGGAAACCTATCCAGTTACTTGAGGAATAAGAGAAATGAATTTGTCCCCTACAAGGTATGTCATTTCCTAATCCCGCTCTGGCCATGTTATAAAATGAAGGGAAACTCAAAATGGTACAGGTTAGTTTTGAAATTTTATGAAGAGCTTGTGAGGAATCTTCTCATATTACCTCCTGGCTGGAGTAACTTCCTCTTTTACCTTCTGGGGGCCATATGCTTCTGTTTAATTTTTTTGATTTTAATCTACTGACCCGTTACAGAGTGCAGGCATGGGGGAGAAGGTGGTATGATCGAGGAGAGGGGAGGGCAGAGGGTGGGACAGCACTGGGTTATTCTGTCTTTCCCCTAGCCATATTTGGCCACGTGGAGTGTAAATCTCTCTGTGAAAAGCACCCTAATGCTGAAAGTGTGTCTGAATGCAACTCGAAATGTGGCATTTGTCTCTGTAAGCTAAAGAAGGAGCTAGGCTTTGTGGAAGAAACCCTATTATGCACAAAATTGCCCCATATTTCAGCTCAGAGATTGCATAATCCTGAAATTGATGCCCTTTTTGTCTGCTTTTTAGTAGTTTCAATTATCTCCATGGTTTACTACATTTTAAAGGTTGTAAACTTTTAAAGACCCATTTTATATTGAAGGAATTTGTTTGTTCCTTTGCTTTTTTATAGACCAAAGGGGCACGATTCCGTCAAGGAAAAGACTACGTTGGAGAAATCCCTGTGGATCTGAAACGGCGCTTGGACAGCATCACCAGTAGCCAGAGCTCAGCCAGCTCGGGATTTGTGGAGGAGAAGTCCCTCAGTGACGTAGAAGAAGAGGAAGGTACTGGCCAGTGCTTCCTGCACGCTATGGCGTGCTCTTATAGGAGCAGACAGGGTGATAGAGTATTACAGGAAATTTGATCATGGGAAAAGTCCAGCACTACCTCCCAATTTGAAAGATACCTGAATTTCTAAATAGAATGCCTCTATTCTTTCTCCCCAAAAGTGAAGTGTGGAAGCCCTAGACTGGGAGGTGAAGCAGGGCTAGCCTGAGAAATCTTGGTGGTTCAAGTGGGCTAAGCAGTCAGCTACAATCATAGCAGTGTTCTTAAAATACTGGTTGAACATTTATTAGAGGAAGAGGCTACAAGCTTTCTGGTAGTTGACTAACTGCTCCATTGCCTTGGAAAGCCCCAGAGTGGCCCAGCCCCACGTTGCATGCTTTACCTGTGCAAAGGTCTTTCTGTTTGTTATACCTAACCTTCTGCAAGGCAGTTGAGGAGACATCTGTTGTTTCTATCCAACCCCAAGTGGCTTATCAAGTCTTCCAACCATCAAGACTCCCTTCCTTCCAAGGGAGTCTTGATAAATATCCTGGCCTTTATTAAGTTATATTTCCAGTGTGTGTTTATTTATTTATTTAACTCTTGAGATGGAGTGTCTCACTGTATTTCTTAGAAGAGCACGATCTTGGCTCACTGCAACCTCCCCTTTTAAGTTCAAGTGATTCTTGTGCCTCAGCCTTCTGAGTAGCTGGGATTACAGGCATGCACCACCACGCCCAGCTAAACTTTTTTGTATTTTTAGTAGAGATGGGGTTTTACCATGTTGGCCAGGCTGGTCTCAAACTCTTGACCTCAGGTGATCTGCCTGCCTTGGCCTCCTAAAGTCCTGGGATTATAGGTGTGAGCCACCATGACTGGCCTCAGTGATATTTTGTGCTCTTTATGGTGGAGCTGTGGTCCCAGCCTAACTTGCAGAACTTCGGCTGTCTCCAGGGCACACTGTCCATCTGCTTCCTTCAGAAGGAGCAGAGACAGTGCCATGGATGTAGTGATGGGTGACAGGCTGGCTCCCCTTGAGACATGAGTCTAGAAGATTAGTGGAAGAAATCCACTCTGCTTCCTTTGACATGAGGCTACAAAGAGAACTTGCCTTTAACTCCTTTTCCTTAGAAGCTGAGAAGGTAGTTTGAGGTTGGGACTTGGTCTAGAAGCACACGGGGAGGTGGTCTAGGAGCACATGGGGAGGTAGTCTAGGCTTGGTCTAGGAGGACACGGGGAGGTGGTCTAGGCTTGGTCTAGGAGCACACGGGGAGGTGGTCTAGGCTTCACATAGCTGGGCCCACACTGAGTGGTGCTGACTCTACCCTGTTCTTTCTCCTTCAAAAAACAGTGGCCAGTGAGCCAGAAACCTGAGATTGAGTTGTTGAGGAAAAGGCTCACAGCCTTTTTAATACTTACAAGGCTATTATTACAACTAAGTTTTTGTTTACTCTGGTATTTCTCTCCAGGAAAGAAGCCATAAGTCTTATCTGACCAAAGAGATGATTTTGAAACACCCATTTAATGTCTTAGCGTTTATTTGTACCAGTTGCACTGAAGTAAATACCACTAATTTATGTAAATTTATCTTTCCATGCTTCTGTTATCTCTCAGGAAAAAACATCCTCCCAGGCCAGATTTAATGTTGTTACAGCATTTTTAGGTTTGAAAATGAATTAAATATATTTCTAGTATTTTTAGTTATTCATTGCAGATTATAGTTTGACTTTTGGCCTTTGTCCGAGGACAAAGCCTGGAGAGAAGAGATTCAATGACCCTGAATATTATTGTTTTATTTTTAGAGCTCTTGATATGAAACTATTGTTTATCCCTTTGGGTACATGAAAAAAAAAAAAAACAAAACAGTGTAAGTGGCACATTTGGAAAAGTCCTCTTTCTTTCCCAGACTATCTAGGTCAATATTACTTTATTCTACCTCCTGGATTTACTGGTTCAATTTGGCTAAAATGGGAAAAAAAAAACAGTATTGTTCTTAAAGGGTATGATGAAGGTATATGATACTGGGCATTCAGGAGATTTACAGAAGATAGAAGCATTGACTCTCTGCTTCTATTTGCTGAAAATGTTACTCCCAAGTCTTAAAAAGATTATCGCTCTAGCAAACTTAGAAACAAATCACACCAGCTGGCGGAAATACTTATCTCCATCCTCCTGCCTCTTTGGACAGCTCCTGAAGATCTGTATAAGGACTTCCTGACCTTGGAACATCTCATCTGTTACAGCTTTCAAGTGGCTAAGGGCATGGAGTTCTTGGCATCGCGAAAGGTAAGACAGGTTGAGGGGAAATCAGCTATCTTTTCAGATCACAGGTCCCGTGTCAGCCACTGGTGCTTGTTTGGGATTATAATTCATTCACCACTTATGTGTTTCTTAGAAGAGCTCTAATGGGGAGGCTCTGTTCCTGCTAAGTAACAGTGGTTAGAGAGTTCATGAAATTAAGCTGTATAATAAAGACTTGTCAAACATTAACTAAGTCTTCTGAGCACTGAGGATACTATGGTGAACAGAAAGGCCAAGCTCTTCACCTTCATGGGGTTTACAGTTCTAGTAGGTAGAGCAAACAATAAGCAATATAAACAAGTAAAATGCATTGTAGGTTACATGGGAGTAAATGCTATGGTGAAATAAAGCAAGAAGGGTTGTAGAATATAGGGGAGTGATTTATTTGTGTATGTTTATTCTTCTGTCCATTGTGTACATTCATTTTAAACAAGATAAACAAGGAAGGCTTTACTTTATTGACATTTGAGCAATGACCTGGAGAGGGGAGGGACTGAGCCTTACAGATACCTTGGCATGAGAGTCTATTTTTAATTTATTTTACATTCATCAACATCAATCAAAAAGTATTTGTTAGGAGTATAATTAGAAGCCAGGAAGGACAGGCTTCAGATGAGGCCGATTAAAAGAGCTAAAATTAGAAAAATAGGCCAAACAAAAGCTGAGGTAGGGACGTGACAAGTCACAACTGTTCCAAAGGTTGTAAACACCAAGTGGGAACAGGCTGGCGGCAGTGACTCCTCTGGAAATAGTAAAATGTGTAATTTTATATTAGATAAGAAAACTTCCAGTTAAGGATCAGGAAGAACTATCAGTTGACAGAATGTATTCGTGCAGCCTAATGAAGACAGAGAGACTTAAGTTATGCATTTTTTGGTTTTTCTTAAATTAGAGTGAAATCTTCAACCCATGTTCTCCCCTGAAGTTTAAAGCTTCTCACAGCATTCAAGGCTGCAGGCTCTTCAAAGTTTCTGCTAGTAGCTCTTGTGTTCGCTCTCCCAAGGGGAAGGGGGAGAACTGAAGATTTATAGGGTTTTCCCAAAGAGAAAAGCCCTTTGCACTTCTTAGAGATTATGATTTATTATTACTATTTTTTAATGGCCAGAATTCGCTACTTAGGGTTCCTTTTGCGGACTAGGAAAAGAATGGGCATGAATGTGGGAATCCTTTAACTTCCCTTACACCTACCAGACGATGTCTTGAATCCACTTGGTTGTTGAGTTAACAAAAGGAAGTTTTTTTGTTTGGGGGGAAAAGTCAAAAGTACTGTCTGTTTTTTGGAATTCCTGGTGTTGCTCTATTGTGCTAGAAAATGTGCTTTGAATATACCTTGTTCAGAGGAGAGTGCCATACAGATTTGAGGTATGGGAAGATCAGCAATGCCCGGTTTACATGATCACAGTGACTTAAGAATTGTCCTCTCAGCCAGGCGGGTTGGCTCATGCCTGTAATCCCAGCATTTTGGGAGGACAAGGTGGGTGGATTACCTGAGGTCAGGAGTTTGAGACCAGCCTGGTCATCATGGTGAAACCCTGTCTCTACTAAAAATACAAAAATTAGCTGGGTGTGGTGGTGCACGCCTGAGGTCCCAGCTACTTGGGAGGCAGAGGCAGAATTGCTTGAACCTGGGAGGTGGAGGTCGCAGTAAGACAAGATTGCACCACTGCCCTGCAGCCTGGGTGACAGAGAGAGATTCCTTCTCAAAAAAAAAAAAAAAAAAAAAAAAAAGAAAGAAAGAAAGAAAGAAAAAAAAGAAAAGAAAAAGTTTGATTCATTTCTTGTGCTCCCTAAGATTCATTTTCTTATAAAGTATCACGTGGAGTTAAAGCTGCCGAGTAGTAGGAAGTTAGATGAAGTTCAGAGGATACAGAGAAAGGGGAAACGAAGAAGCCAAAAGGAAGAGAAAGAAAGCCAAGGTGAATCTCATTTTATTGTTAGTGTGCTAGAGAATCAACCTGACTCTTGTTAGGCTGAAATTGCCTTAATAGACCTTTATGATAACGCAGCACTTTGAAATCAGCGGAAGCCCCACTGGGAAGTGTTTATCAGAGCCAGTCGGGCTTCAGCTTCATACAGAAGGGGGAAACCAACAAAGAGCACTAAACCAATGAGAGCCCCTTGTTTCTGATTTCCGTGCATTCATTCCAATAATAAATGCCATTCTGGGACCTCCTTAGAATAACACGTTTTTAACCAAATATGGGGCCAGGCAAAAGGGATGTGTGGATGTGACCAGAAACACATTTTTAATTGTGTCCTACAGAAGCCTGTTTATGATTCCATCATCATATTATAACTTAATTATTTAACTCCAAAGGCTGGGGCTGTTTATGGAATAAGCAGATGTGTGGCTCAGCAAAGCTCACAGAGTTTTTTACTTAAGTGTTGATAAAAGGTACTAACCCAGTCCTTGTTAATCAGTTGGCTTTCTGATGTGGGATTTTTTTTGAAGCATGAGATCACAACAGATGTGAAAGAGATCAGCTGTGCTGAGAACTAATGCACACACAATTCTCTTTACAGTGTATCCACAGGGACCTGGCAGCACGAAATATCCTCTTATCAGAGAAGAACGTGGTTAAAATCTGTGACTTTGGCTTGGCCCGGGATATCTATAAAGACCCAGATTACGTCAGAAAAGGAGATGTAAGTTTCAAACATGAACCCAGTGCTCTGTTAAGTAACAGAATTAAAACTACTGGCTGGGTGCTGCGGCTCACACCTGTAATCCCAGCACTTAGGGATGCCAAGGCAGGTGGATCACCTGAGGTTGGGAGTTCGATACCAGCCTGACCAACATGGAGAACCCTCATCTCTACTAAAATACAAAATTAGCGGGGCTCATGCCTATAATCCTAGCTACTCAGGAGGCGGAGGTAGGAGAATTGCTTGAACCCAGGAGGCAGAGGTTGCAGTGAGCCGAGATTGCACCACTGCACTACAGCCTGGGCAACAGAGCGAGACTCTATCTCAAAAAACAAACAAACAAAAAAAAACAAAATTTCTCGTAGTGAGCTTCAGGACCTGTGTTCAGGAACAAAGGAAGTTTTTTCTTCATATATTTGCTTATTTGGGTTCTGAGTCCTTGTCTTCTATCCCGTAGGCTCGCCTCCCTTTGAAATGGATGGCCCCGGAAACAATTTTTGACAGAGTGTACACAATCCAGAGTGATGTCTGGTCTTTTGGTGTTTTGCTGTGGGAAATATTTTCCTTAGGTGAGTCATTTCTCTTTGTCCTTCCATCCAGACTCCAAAGAGAATGACAAAATTTGCCTTTTTCTCTCCTGTACTTCACATCTATCAGGTAAAACTTCCTGGAAGCTTTGAAAACAAACAAACAAAAAGATAAATACATAGGTGATGAGGATGTGCAAGACTCAGGCTCAGGGCTTTCTATAAGAGAAAATCAAAGAATGGCTCCTCCCTGTTTTATTCTAGGTGCTTCTCCATATCCTGGGGTAAAGATTGATGAAGAATTTTGTAGGCGATTGAAAGAAGGAACTAGAATGAGGGCCCCCGATTATACTACACCAGAAATGTAAGACTTTAAGAAGTATTCCTCTGTTCTCTTTCTTTGCTCACAAGTTTTCCTAGCCTGGAAGTCTTTCCATTATTTAAACCTTCTTCATGGCCCAGTTAGTGTCCTGCTTTTACTTTGAGGCCTTTCTTGGTAATTTCAAGCATGGAGTCATCCCTTCTTGAAAAGAATTTTATTATTCAAAGCAACCAGTTAGTTTTTACTAGATGTTGCTTTTAATGTTTTCTTTTCTATACACATTGAGCCTCTGGAGTGTGGGGCTCTGTGTCTTATACAGTTTTGTATCCCTATTTAGCATCTCAACTGGGGGTGGGCTCTTTATAAATGTGTATTCATTTAAGTGCTTATTTTCAGCATCCCGGAAGAAAGAGGCATTTAATGAAATCAGTGTTTTGCTGCTCTAGGTACCAGACCATGCTGGACTGCTGGCATGGGGAGCCCAGTCAGAGACCCACGTTTTCAGAGTTGGTGGAGCATTTGGGAAATCTCTTGCAAGCTAATGCTCAGCAGGTTTGTCACCTGTATCCAAGAAGCTTCTACAAAAAGTACTTAGATGTCAAGGGCTCCCCTACTGCCTGAACTGTCATCTCATGGCCACCATGTCATCCTCTCAGCACTGAACAATCTACTGTGCTCTTCTTCATCAGAGTAACAATGCTTTTCTAAAAGCTGTAATGACCCTTTTAGACAGACAGGATTCTAATTTCTAACCTGGGAGCAGACCACTCTGATTTCTACCTACTTATCTCTTTGTTATATCTTCAAATGCTCTTCTAAAGTTGAAACAAACCAACAAATATCCGGTTGATCCACAGAAGATCAACAATGGAAGAAATTTCAAGAAATTTTAATAAATTCTGCAGGCAAAAACACATCTAAGCTATGCAAAAGAGATGGTTTCTGCCTTGGTACCATCCCAGGCTCTTCTAACTTCCACTGGAAGGTCTTGGAGTTGTAGGCTTTGCTATCAGAACGTTATTTAATCTCCAGTCAATGCCTCTTACTGCAATGGAAGCCAAT